TCAGCTGCTGCACCAGTTAACTGGAATAATGATTTGAAGAGTGAATAGATTCCTGCTTTTTAAAGAAGCAAAATATAATATTTGGTTAACATTACATTCTAAGTAGAGATATATACAGAATATGAAGTGGAGTTGGGTTTTTTCTCCTCGTGAGTTATCTTTATTTCCTGCTCACAGGATTGAGGTGCGTAAACTCTTTTGACTTTGAGAAATTAATTCTTGAAGAGTGAGTGTCGATTTTAATGGAAAAATAGAAAGACTGGTGTGATTTAAAGACAAGCTTTGTCACAAAGAGATAAACTAAAAAGTGAGAAAATTAGTTAGGTCCACAAATCTAGATGTATTCCTTCCTATAAAGAAGACAGAGAACAAAAACTTCAAAAATAGGATACTAAGAAAAAGAAGTAAACTTGGAAAAAAGTGAACAGAAGTTAACATATCTACTAGAAAAGAAAAACATCCTGAAAATATTTATTTATTATCAAGAGTTATAGGGAGGTTAATTAGGGAATCTTACTGAATCTTGATATCAGATTTCCAAGATTTTTATTATACTTCGGGAAATATTAGATTGGCTCACTAAATATAATGTATTTAGTGATATATGGACCTTTGAAATGCTTAAGAGGCCACATATAAAAACACTTATTTGTAGACTTTAATGTTTGATGAAATTATGCTATGGTTATGACATTAGAGAAATATACAAATCCCAGAGAAAACACTACACAGGGATACATAAACATGAGGATAATGTGGAACAAGAAGAAAAGTCATTTGATTTTGAATTCTGTGTATGCTTTTACCACATTATTGAGTTCAGCAAATTATGAACACTCACAGAAGGCAGAACTGAGATCAGGAAAGGATCAGAAGAGATGTGACTATTGAAATCATGCTCTACAATTTTAATCAACTATAAACCTGAAGTGCTCCTTAGAAATAATACAGATGTCCAAAAGAATTTTCCCAAAATGAAAACTATTGAAAAGAAGTCTAGGTAAAGTGATAGCAATTTTTTAAAAGAAATGTTTCAAAATTCTGACATCTTTTCTTATGAGATGGGTGATTGCATTGAAATGGCAACGGAGCTCAAAAGTAGGCAAAAATAAATTGGTCAGGAGACAACTACAGTGGTTTGTGGGCATACACGGACTAGTCTAATGAAGGCAGGATGGACTGTGACACTTCTCAATAGATAGTTCCCTACAGTCCAATGATTCTAGAAAATTTCATGGATTTAGGATTTAAAAGATCATTACATCGGTGAAGTTTTTCACTTCATTCAATATAATTTTTACTACTGTACATGACCGTTTAATCAAATGAAAGAAAGATTTTCACAAATGTATTTAGATATTCTATTGGTTATCTTTTGGGTTTTCTTCAATTCTTAGGGAATGATTATGTTTATTGACAAGAAAACAACCCATTTCCAAATAATAAATCCTTATACCTTTAATACTATATTATTTAGGCTAACTTGAACTGACAGGTTTGCTGACAAAAATCTTAAGAGATAATGTTCAAAATGTGAAGCCAAAATCATAAACAAGAATGATTACAAAAATAATAGTAAAGGTATTTATTATTGTGCTTTTTAAATTATATGAACAATATAGCTTTTAGTAATTTTTGTATTCCTTATTTGCTGAGATTATCCATATTGTTTTATGAATAATTTATATCACTTGAAAGACTAATTTTTTAAATAAGATGTCTAAAATTCTAAATAAGCCTTGAATTCCTCATGATAAAAATGCACTATTTTTAAACTCCAGAAAATGTTTTTATATTTCATTTTAATAAGTATTGATAACAATGATTCATCTTTAAAAAAATTAAGTGATACTGTTGTATTTGTTGTTACTCTAATAAAAATTAACGCTAGAAAAATCAACACTGTGTTCAAATATGTGACCATATTCTACATGTTTCAGTTTATTTCCTTAATCTTTTGTGTACCTGTTCAATCTTTATCAGTGTATGAGCGAACTACAATATTATAACAAAAATAAGAGCAAGCATGCTCATGAGCAATAAAGATGGAAAAATGTGTTCAAAAGTACCCTTGATTAAAAAAATAAGCTGCATTTCATTAAATGCATCATTTATACTCTTCATGGATCTTTTCATATACAGTTTTAAAGAAGGAAATATTTAGGCATTTTTTATAACATAGAAAGTACATTTTTCTAACATGCATACATGTACTTTTCTGTAGAAGCTAGTTTCTTGCAATTTTTAATTTTAATTTTAGCATCAGAGGTACACACGGAAAGTTCTTGGATATAAACAATGATCTCATTTGTGTTATTAGGCTTATCACCATTTCCCTGTCATCATTTTGTAAATGACAGTGGTAGCCTCATTAGGCTTTTTTTAGAGCTTTGCAAAAATAACTAAATATAAAGCCATCTTTTCTTAACATCAAAATGTACATTATGTTCATTAAAAAACTAAATGCATGTTTAGCAAAAGAAAAACTGCTACCTCAATAATTATTTAAACATTCTGATTAAAAGCAAGTAATTAGTGTCAATTTTTAGCTTCTTTAATTATGTAAGGGAGGTGCTTTTCAATTTATAAGATGAGAACATTTCCATTCCTGCTGATAAATGATATAAGTATTAACAACTATTACCATGTGAATTCTGGGGGCAAATGGTCAGGAATAGTTCTGGTTGATACTTCGATTCACCATAAAATTGACTATGCCTATTAAATCAGAGCCATGATGTAATTTTAAAGGTAACTGTGTGAGTCTAACATTAAACACTAGAAGTCAAAAAAATTCTGATATGAATAAAAATATGTAGAACTAAACATAATATAAGTAAAAACTACAAAATAGCTATTTTTTTCTGATTATTTTTCATCCAGGTCACACTTCATTCCAAACCTTAAATTTTGAGCATTATCAGCTGATTATTACAGAAACAAAAAATTGTTACATATCTGGATAACATGTAACCAAATCTTTTTTTTTTTGGTAAAATAGCAGTTGCATTCTTTGATTTCTAGCAGTATATGTAACTGTTAATATATTTCATAATTACTAAAATCAGATTTCTAAATAAAGACACTAGATTCTAAAAAAAGTTAAAGAAATTTCATTAAAATATATGCACCATTAATATTTTTATTAATAAAAATTGTTACTGTGATGCTTGCCATTAAAAAGAAAAACTAATCAGTGGAGAAGACATTTTTAGGTGACTAAAATTTCATTTCTATATGTAAGTGAAATTTCATCAAGATTAGTACTCACCACAAGTAAAAGAGAATGAATTGATCTTTCTACATACTTGATATAGATTTACCAGTTAATAAATGCTAAAAGCAAATACTTGTATTTATTTAGAAATATAAATTTGAATTACTGTGAAACATATGCCCTGAATTTTTGCCTTGAAATTATTGATAATGTATATGATATGATGTATATTTTTACTCTAAGTGAAACAATAGTGAGAATATCTTGTTTAAAATTTGGAAAGCTTGGTTTTTGATAATAAAAAAACAATAAAGATACAGAATTCAGTTTGAGAGTCAAAGACTGCATCATAGTCTTGATTTATTAACATTTGATTTTAGGCTAGTTTAAATCCCTCGTGTGTGTAAATGTGTGAGTTAAACTTTAGAACTTTAGCATACAGATTACATCGTAATTAGTATGTTAGATGTTTCAATACTTTCCTTTCCTTAAATATTTGTGCCCTCCTTGTATTTTATAACTTTAAAAAACAGAGCCAAACAAATATCAGTAATGTAGAGAAAGACACAATTGGTTCTGAAATGATAAAATACTGTATCATGCTGTGGTAATGGTATTTCTAAATAATTTGAAACGCTGAATGTAGTCCTTCTTAAAACACCATTTAATATGGTTGCCATCAAAAGGTATGTATCCGATGACAGACCCACTCCTTTAATCACATGACACTTGTCTATTCGTATTATCAAAGTCCAGAATAATGGTCATGTTCAATGCTAGTCCATGCCTTTCACATTTACATTCATAAGGGCTAAAGTATTTATTTTTCTAGATTTCTTTTCCTTTAATTTTTTTCCCTCCCATTTCATAAGTCATAAAAAGTGGTATCTGCAATCTGTCTCATTTTTGTTTCTAGCTTACAGTTCCACGATTTTTTTTGTATTAGAAGAAAATCAGAAAACATCATGTACATAGATAGCATTTGCTATGTAAAAGTAATCTTTTGATTGAATTGTTATGAATTTGATCCTTATCAAATATTAGTTTAGGTTGTTCAACCAAATAGTTTATGTAGTTTGACCATGGTAAATTGAACTTTCCCCTAACTTAAAGAAAAGATTTCTATGTAGCAGAGATAGTTTCATTAACAATATCCTCAAGAGAAATATACTACAGAATCTCAAAGCATTTTCATTTCTCATGGTAGTTGTATAAAATAATCCACTTAGAGAATATGGCCCCAATATTGAAAGAGTTGAGTGCAATTATCAGTGTCTCAATATTAGAAGAACCTATCATTTTAAATAAATTAAGAACCATCCTGACATATTACTAAATCATGTTGAATGGTCAAACTGATGGCTGCACTGATCTCTTAACTTACCTAAGATGTTTAATGCCAATTTGGTAGGAGGATAACTAGGTGACAATGCTGGCATTGATAAGAAATGAGATCTCATAGTGACTCAAGTGTCAAGAGATTTTTCCACCTTAACTAAGTTCCTCAAAACACATGTAAATCAATAAGAGAGCAATATCCAATGAAACTATGAAGAGCACTTAAAAAACGTTTTCAACGACATCCAGTTATGTTTGTTGTTGACCCCATGTTCTAACACAGGAAGCTGTCTAGTAAATTCATAGTAAAGTGCTGCCTGCATCCAGTCACTTTTATCCTTATTTCTGAAAACAACTTGAACTCTATTGTTACTAAGAATAAGGCATGTTTCATTTTATTCCCTCAAAAGGAATACTTTGATACAGCCTTTTATGTAATACTTACTCAAATATGGTGGTTTGTAAGGCGCTCGTGTATTAGACAGTAGTCCATCCAGCTCCTTCCTCTCCAGAGTGCTGTGAAGGGCCTTCTCTTTGCCAAAGGTGGAGAAGGACCGCTCTGCCCCAGGCTGGGCTTCTGGAGTTTCAAACACCTCAGTGTCTGGAACAGAGTCCATGCCAGGAACATGCAGATTGCTGCGATAATCAGCAGCCTGGCGTCCATCGGAAGGGACAAAAGAAGGCATCCAGCACCGATCTGAATGGCCCAGTGCTTTACATTCCTCTGTGCAATTGGAGAAGAGATCCATACCTATCGACAGAAAAAAGAGAAACTAGGTTTCACCAACCTGATCAGCTGCTTAGCTAGGAAAGATTACAGGTAGCATAGAGCAATGGGTGGAATTGTCAAGAAATTGTTCTTGTCTTAATGTGTCAGGAATCAGAAATTGTGTAATAAATTTTGTAAAGGGTAAGAATCTTTTGGCAGAGAGACCTTTGAGAGAGGTGTTTCTAAGCTACTCAGAGTTTGTGCAGGGGAGATGTAGGCACTAAATTACTTAAATACAAAATGTTGAGAAGAAAAAGAATGTGTACATTTTTAAATCTCTTTAACAGAGAAAAAAATGTAGTATAGAGCATTTATAACCCACAATCTCTAATGATAAGTCATCTGGCTTTTTTCTTAGAGACCAAAGATAGAAAACATGAGAAATGCTAACAATGATATTTAGATTATGAAATATGGACTGAAACAAAAAGTGAAATTTAACAGAAACATAGCATACATATCAGTAAACCAGTAAATAACAAGAGTGAAATGATTTCATGAGCAGCCAAGAGCACGCTTTCTCATGTTCCTAGAAAATGCATTTCTCAATGACATTCTGGTGGCACATATTACCACAAATCACTCATCACTTACCACTTTGGACAAACTCAGAACAAATGACTGTAATTAGTGAAACCAAGGTAACCAAGTTCAGTGTGAGTCAACTACAGATACTATTGACAAATACCTTATTACTGGTTCTATATTGGAAAACACTTATCCTAATCAACATAGAACTGTTTGCTTACTGATTCTAGAATACCAAGATTTCAAATGATATATTCAAGTTGCAGTGTCTCCCATAGATCGATAAGACTATTAAATATTATTCAATTAGAGTTAAGAAAGCTCATCCAGTTTCTCAAGGAAAGCACAATTTTTGATCACTATAGAATGCTACTTGGTATTCATTAACCAACACATAAAAACAAGTATGTAAATCAAACCATTTTAATGTTTTTCTAAAATACTAATACATTTATCAAATATGTTTTAAAACAGTATCCATTTGAAATAACCAAAATACAATAACTCTGATGAAAGAAACCCTTGAATGCATGCTAAGTCTGAAAAAAAGACATTTTTTTAACCAACAGAATAATATCTATTTGATGAACATAATTGACTGTTTCTTCTATAAATATGAGTGATTTGAGCTATTGAGCAAGTTTTAGTTTTTAAAATCCTGATGGTATTCTGTCACATTCTGATTTATTTGTGTGTATTTGTGTGTACATATTAACATCTGTATACATATAAAATAAATTGCTTTTTCACAATTATTAACCCTCCAGATGATCTGCAAGTATTTTGGAGTTAAGAACAGCTAAATAGGTAAATTCTGTTTAAAGAAATAACACCAACCTTCTTATCATACATTAATCTCACTTCATAATTACTTTTTTATTTTAAATTAAACTGCATATAATGCCAAGTCTGACTTTGACTATAACATTCCATTGATAACTGTCATGCATTAGCCTGGAAATAAATTACTGATCAGTGAACTGTTGAGGGACATAAACGTGAGCTGCAGCCAGGATAAGGAACCAGACTAAGGAGAGCATGTAAAACATGTCAATATTTCTCTAGACACCAGAGAAACTCAGTTCTTCATCCTAGTTCTGCAAAAATATAGTAGAAAGAAAACAAGAAGGGGAAGGAGAATGTCCCTGAGACACATTGACTTACCAGGTGAGTAGAAGCTACAGAACCGGACAGATTTGTATTTTGACACACTGTACTATAAAAGCTCTCTATTTGTAGTGCAATGGGAGAAAAATGCTTTTGTGATGGAAATAACATTTAAACTATTATGAGCAATTATTTATTTTAAAGCCAAATATAATTTACATTAACTTTGAAGTTGATGGAATTAATTCAAATATTAAGACAGAATTGTATTGAGTCCTGATAAAGATGGATACTAATGCAGAATTTGGACTTAAAACAGTTTTTCTTCACATGACTGATAAATATCATTTAAGTATACCACACGAGACCATGATACTCTCACAATCTTTTTGAGCACTTGCACCCAAATACTCTTATAATTTTTATTATGATAATCTCACCTAGAAATTTTCAATAAACTATTTTCTCAATATTACTATTAAAATGTTGCTGATTATGTTAGAAGTTACTTGTAGTAGAACTTGTTTTTACAGGTAGTTTATATGTAATTGTACCCATTCTTCTTCTCTTGAAGTGTATGTTTTTTGCTTCTCTTAATTTTTAGGGGCTAGTTAAAACTCCCTTGGATGATGGAAAAAAGTTCTCATGTACTGAGAATATATACAAAAAATATATCATGTATATACCAAGAAAAGTGAGATATATGATATAGTTTATATTGAGAACATGTTACTTGATGGAAGGGAAAGAAACACTTGTAAATAATGTTCTTAATAAAGTAATGAAATAATCTTTTTAAAGTGGAACTCCCATAGTGATAACATACAGCTTTACATAACTAGGTTGAATGATAAGGTGGCTCAAACTGTGCATGACCAGTTTTACTGATAAAGCAAATATACCCATTTCTCATGAAGAAAATATTAGACATAGAAACAAAAATCTTAAAAATAACATAAGTAGTACACCAATTTCAAGTAAGTAACAAAAACATTCATTGAAAATGGATTTTTTTCACAGTGCTCTTGGAATTTTTTAATGGCTCAGATATAAGGCACAAGAATAAATAAATTTAACTTGATTCTTTTTTTCTTCATTCAAATGCTCTTATTAAAGAACCTATGGGATTTGTATAGCAGAAAAGTACATGCCAAACCTGTTTTGAAGTTTTGGTAATTTCTAAGAAATATCTCAACATATATATTTTACTTGCAATTTCTTCTCCTAGTTATTTATTTATTTTCTCCAATTCTTAGAAATAATCTGTTCTACAAGGCATGACAGTTGACGTGATAGACTGCCTGTTATGCAAAGATATATTTAGACAAATTTGAAAATACATCATTTTTAAGTGGCAAGTAACTTGTCCCTTACAGTCAGAGGCAATAATATTACCACTGAGAACAAACAGTGATTTCAAAAACAGGTAACTGTATTCAATTTTTGCTGTTTTCTGACGAATGTGATATGAAATTGCTTTTACATTTCTTCCTCATGCACAAGCCTTCATAAAAATATAGTTAATTTTTCTAAACATGATACATTAATTTTAAAGCAAATCAACACAACTTTTTAAGGGAATTTCCAATCTTCTTGTAACCACTTAACACTGGAAAATAGAGGGGTATTAATTATAATAACAAAAATGCTATAATTTTTAGGAAAATATGGTTTGGAGGCAGATATTTATTAACATAATTCACTTATAAAATATTTAAACATGTACTTCAAAATTTTCTCCTTACCTATCATCTTTCAAAAATGTTTGCTTTTCTCTTTTTTCTCTCAATATTTTGTCTTACATATTTTTTTCCAATTCTAAGTCTCTCTGCATCAACTTGTAACTCAGGTTTTCACCAGAAAGCAGAAGAAACTTTTGCAAACTGGTGTAAATTCATTATTTATAAATCTAGAAGCTAATTTGCCAGTATCTAAATTCTTATTGGAGTTGGGAAAGAGAATTTGGTATTTATGGTCAATCAAGAATTCTCTTGATATCACAGTAGTTCTGCAATGGCTTAATACATTTCATGATATGCTTTACTAGTTTGAAGATACAATTCAAATCATCTTGTTTTTCAATAAAGAGCTAAATTTTATTATGTTTCAATCTGATAATAATTGAGAAATAAACACATTTAGAAGTTAAGTTCCTTATAACTGAAAGAAAAATGTTCAAGTACAGCAATTTGATCATTTTCAGCAAATCATAACATTAACATACTTATTAAGGTTCTCTTCAATATATGTTTTAAGAAGGCACAATTATTAAATATAAATTCATACTTAATCCTAGCATTATGCACAGTGTTAAGTATTTAATAAATGAGGAAAATTTTTCCTATGACTAAATAGATCTCCCTAGATGTACCTCCAGTAATATTTAAATATTTAAAACTGTAGTACTAAAAATGTATCAGTATTCTAAATCAGAAAAAAAGTCTATCCTTTAGTCTAATAACAAGCAAAGTTAAAAGTGTATTTCTATTAAGTCTACTTTTATTTGTTTATTTATTTTGCCTATTTTAGCTCTGATTAATCAGTTTTTCCTCCTGTGATGGTTTATGCACACATTTACCACATTTCCTTGGACTTCTGCCATATCTAACCAATACATCAATAGTGCAGAGAAAAAAACGGAAAGCACCTTGACAAGGCTATAGAAAGAAAGTGCCACAGAGCAGTGGTCAAACCGAAGAATTTCACACATGGAGCCAGGTGCAGTGGAAAACTCAAAAAGCTTGTGTGATTCTCTGTGCAGCTGCCTCCGTGTTTAAAGCCCTTCTATGAACAAGATTGGTGACTGCGAATGGCTTAGAAAGGAAAAAAGCAAGGGGGAAGGGGGAAAGAACAAAAAAGAAAACTATTCAAAGAAGAGAAAAATAGAAGTCATATCTACATAAATAAATACAAAGTAAAGCTCACATAGAAAAGAAAGTGGGAATAAACAAGAAGTTCCGAAATTTAAACAGGTGAAGTGCTGAACTAAATAGTGTAAATAATGTAATATGGAATGAAGTACAAAGTAGAGAATGCAGAATTGGTATCTTTCCAGTTTTATCTTTCCTTGATAATCTAATCTGTTCCCCCTAAAGACTCACTGACTGAGATCTGCTTATTAGCTTGAATTCTTTTCATGTCCTTATCCTGGAAATAGATGTGCTAGGAAAAAATTTCCTAAATACACAAAACTGGAAGATCATTAATACCTGGCTTTACAAGAAATTGAATAGATGTACTTGTTTACCTGAAATGGGGTTAACTTTTAGGAAACATTTTAGCTACTTGGTATGAAGTTTATAGTACACATCAGTATGGGCTGGAAAGTCATTAAGTAAATGTACTTTATCTGCATTTAGGGTTTTATACTCAAAAAAAGAAAACACTTCAAAATCTTACAGTGATATTATACACATTAAATATGATTGCAATTCAGCACACAAAAGTGTGATTATTTCTTAATACAAGTGTGTTTTCACAGTTCCAAAACAGCTATTATTGTGCCCAGTATGTTATGGCTGCCCTGTGCTGCGAATGAAATATGTGACAGATTGTTAATCCTGTAATACTTTTACGTGTTTAGGAACTTAAGGATTGAGAAAAATGTTTCTGTATTTTAGAAAGAAAAATAAAAAAGCCTTGCTTTTTAAAACTTTTTTAAGAACTCTATTTAGCATTTTAATTTTCTTTTTAATGTCAATTTGAAAGAAACAATGCAAAAATGGCAACATTGAATGCCTGTAAAACAAAATAGCTACTGGGAAAGAGCATTGATAAGAATATAGTTCCATCAATCGTCCAAATTTAGCACTTTTTGCAGATGTTTATTTCTTTCTCTTTCTTCAGTTAGGTTATTATGGCTCATTATGTCTGAGGGACTAAGCTAATTGAAATGTTCATGGAGATTGGAGTGCTACAGAAAAAATCAAAAGTGAGGGTTGGGGACGGGAAAAGAATAAAATGCATCCGAGGGAACATGAAGCAGATACTCTCTTTTAAACATTAAACATTTTGTTTTACAAGTTTTAAAAAGCTGACTATTAAATTAGAAACTGAAAAAAGAATAGGAATGAGCAATTCAAAATGCACAGCTTTTTAAAGGTAACAATAAATCATATGCCATATATATAGGCCAAAAATGAAAGGGACTTTGTACTCAGATATAAACTTCTGGCAAGATCTAGTTTGTTGTCAGGTTCCCAGACACTAAATAGATGCTCTGTTCACTTAGCGTGCAGGCCCGCAAGGGGCAGGGACCTCCGGGGATTCTTGGCAGTTCTCAAGTCTCATTAGGTCTGCATATTAATGACTTGCAGCAATATAAAGAGACCCTTGAGCAGCCTTTCTTCCCCTCCTCCTGCCTGTGTTTCCCAAGGCTAAGGCAGCCGCAGACACAGCACACGTTAGCCGAGTGAGAGGCTTGCTGCAACTCCTGCTGCCAAGCGACCGTGGGGCGGATGCTGCCCTTTGACACATGGCCTCAGCACCGCTCGGAGGTCTACCAAGTGTGCTAATGAATGGGTGCTCTCGAGGACCAATGCTACCTTTAAAGTGAGGACCCTATCACTCTATGGGTATGCCATTAGCCAAAATAAAGCTCAAATCTCAAGCAACGGAGTTGACCTAAAGACTGTTTGATGATGGACATTTTTAGAAGTTACAAAAGCTGACTTGCCTTTCCACTTCTTTATGTGTCAGCTATACACAAAGCTCACTCGAAAAAGATAAAAGTAAGGAACTTCTACAAGTAGGCTTCAGAGTTGAAATGCAAATAAAGTGGAAAGAAAATTCAAATTTTATGAAATTAGTTTCATCATTTGAAGGTACATATTTTATTAAGGGTTTTCTTTCCATATTAGTAATTAAGAGTTATCAGAATCCCATAAAACTTAAATGTTAAATTTATATAGATAAAAATAAAGTAAAATATATGCATCACATTGCAACACCCATCAGTGACTACTGTTAAGCCTGCATGCAAATATACACAGAGTTCAACTTCTGACAGGTCATAGACCCTGTTGAAGATACGAGGCATCTCAGGATGCTTCCAAAAACACACATTATTAAATGATTATCAATGTCCCGAAGCCTAAGAACCCAGGATTGGAAACCCTGCTTTCAACCTATTCATGGTTTAATCACCATTGCTTCTTTATTCAATACTCAGTGCAAAATGCATTGCTCTTAATAGCAAGAAATTTAGATTCTAGTCCCCAATCATCCACTTATACTCTTGTGACCTTGTGCAGGTCAATCAATCTCATTCATCTTCAGTTACCTCATCCATAAGGGAGTCTAATAATACCCTAATTGACTGAAGGCTGAGGAATAGACCAGGTGAGAAATCTATAACTTTTTGTATGCAATATAATTCCATTAAAGAACATCACATAAGGAAGACATATTTCATATTCTAACACATTCCACACGAACTTTAAATGAACTTTAAAAAAATGTTTCCAAAGAAACATTATATTTTTATAATGATCTTTAAGTATGTAATTATCAACATAGAATGACACCATTTTTCTATAGATTTACTAATATTAAACTTAAAGATAATTATCTAGGACATCATCATTTCTAGATTTATTTAAGAAACAAAAAACAACTATAAAAGTCAGCATAACCTCTGAACAAACACACTTACCAGCTGACTGGCCGCGGTTGGTGGCGTCGTGATCACTATCGCCCTGTTCACTGTCTCCATGGCCACTGTCCTTAGAGCTTACTATGTCGGCTTCCTGGAATGCAGAACTAGAAGGACAGAATGTGAATATCAGAATAAAAAGGGTGAAGAAACACATAAAATATTCTTCTGCCACCACATGGTCACCAATGGTGCTGCAGATTCACAGATCTCAGTTGGCTTTATTTCTGCATAAAGCTAGTTTTCATAACCTTAAACCTAATTCTTTAAAATTGAATATTAGTAGTTTGAGCCCTTAAGGCATGTAAAGTTTAGTCATTATTCTATGATTTGAGCTAAGTATATGGTTACATCATTTTCATAAAAGAAATGTATATATACACCCAGTACAGTTAGGAAGACTACCAGTAGCAGTGTAGGCATGTTAAGTGACAAAATATTCTACTATATTTGGTAAGTTGTATATAAATGAAATATACCCATGTTTTTACTATACTGTCCATGAACCCCCAACATAATCATTATTTATGGCCTGCCCTAGTTGGGGGTACTTCATACATTTTATATTTTAATACTGAATAATATATCTAATTTCTACATTAAGTAGATAGTTAATTGTTCATACCCCAAGCTGGGAAAAAGAGGAGTCCATACCTGTTAACTCGGCGAGGTCTGTCAACTAGATAGCTGAGCTCTGCTCGCTGGTGTTTAGTCTAGAAAAAAAATAAATAAACCAAGAGCATTTGAATGCTAAGGGTTTAACTAATAGTCTGCTTTTGAGTTTAGGAACTAATTCTAGCTTAAGTTATTGTGTACATTTTTATGAATTTCCAAGCTTTCCTAAGACCTCAGTCTAGTGATTGCTTAGTAAGGGCAGGAAAATATGCAGACATCTCGATCTAGATTTTCAGTAAAGGTAAAAAAAGAAGAAGATGAAGAAGAAGAAGAAAAATGCAGAAATAAAAGGCCAATTTTTAATGAGTGGGCTTATTTTAAAGGAGAGAATGAATACAAATGACCTCATAGGTAGGGTTCATGAACTATTGTCTCTAAAACAGTCAACCTAGTTATACTCTGCACTCTTTCTTTCAGTGGCCTGAAGCAGTGTTTAGGTGTATACAGGTTGACACAAGAAAAACAGCACGCTCAATAAGCAAAAAGTTTGGTTATTTTATGGAATTATCTTGTTGTTTATTTTCAAAATGTGCTTAAGATACAAATGAGCTGTACAAATATTCATGAAAGTCAATAATATCTAAGACTCAAATAAATAACCTGCCAGGAAAGGAGTTCATAGTCCTCCCTCCCGCTCCAATTCTTTTTCCCCTCCAAACACCCTCTGATTCTCCTCCCCGCCTCCACCACCCATACACCCTTTCCGGTCCAAACTTTTCTTTTACATAAATCAACTCTATTCTCCCCCTCCCTCCTTCCAATTTTGCCACTTCTCCAACTTTTAAAAAGAAATCGAAATTGACAAGCAGATTCTTTGATGAGGAAAAAGCCAACATCAGTGTATCAAACACAGTGGCAAGAAGGTGATTATTAACTAAAAGATATATTTAAGACAACAATTGTTTAAGCCTTTCGTTAGTTTACGTTTACAGGGGTTAGTGCCAAAGCAACTTCATTCAAATTCACACTGTGTGGGCGTTAGGCTTCAAGAGCGTCTGTAAACGCTGTCCTGGGCAGAACTGAAGGCTTTTCTGCAACCCGAGTTCAGAGGACAAGGATCTGATAACTCATTTACTGAAACATACATTCGAGTTTATAGACAGCTATGTAAAGTTAAACAATCTATAGCTTACTTTTACAAGCGACTAAGAGCATCGATAAACAAAGCAAAAACAGAATTAACTTTATTCACGCCTGGGACAAACGCAAAGAGAAAAAGACCTTTTTTGCCAGTGCAGGAAAGGCCCTCCACAGCTTTTCCCTCCCCCCCCCCCCGCCCCCGCGCAAATTCCCCTTTACCCACAGATCCAAAAAGTGAAAGACTGTGAGGGGGCCAGGATTTTAAAGGACAGATGCCAGAGGGAGGGAAGAAGGAAGGTCCAAGGTGGCAAAGCACCAAAGGAAGGACATGGAAATAAACGTGGAGGAGGATGGAGCGCAGAAAAATGGGGACAACACGAAGTTTAGGTTACACACGAAGGGGTGGGATAGGGTGACCTCCCCATTTCTGCTCCTACAAAGGTACAAATAAGCTAATATCCTAAAAATAAATACACAGCGCACCAGAGATTCAAGGGCCGGACTAGAGGAGGCTTTCAGATGGAGGAGATGAGAGATGGTGGTCCTTTCGCTTCAGCCTTACCTCGTTGGACAAAATGCTTCCGTTGGAGATGATGTCGGGCTGCGGGTCTGTGTAGCCTGTGACGATGGCCCCGCAGGGATTGTGCTCAGTGTCCGTACTCCGCGAAGGGCTGCAGGGCTTAAGGAACATCAGATCTGTCTTGGCGGACTCAGGGGTCAGACAGACCTGGTAGCAATAATTCTGGTTGTGGTGGTGGGAGCCGAAGGCCCCGGACTCCTCCACGGGTACTTGGGCCGGGTTACTGGGGACGTTAGAGCTCTGCACCAGCATAATGTCGGACTTGCTGAGTTTTTTCTTGCGCGCCCGCGCTTGGCGTCCACAGCAGGTCGAGCCCCCCGCGCCACAGCAGCAGCAGAGGCAGCAATCGCTGGCCAGGCACGTGTAGATGTTGAACTTCTTCTCTTTTTGGCAGCGCACAGCTAGTACTATCATGGCCAGCAGGAAGATGAAGGACACCGAGCCCAGTGCGATGATGAGGATGAGGGTGAGGTCCAAAGAGGTCTCCCCGCCACCGGAGCGGCTGGGGCGCTGGTGCTCCCCGGACCCCACCCCACCGCCCCCGCCCCCTCCCTGGGGCTCGACAGCGCCATCCACCAGCTGCACCACCAGAGAGGCCGTGGACGACAGAGGCGGCTGCCCGTGGTCGCGCACCTCGATCACCAGCTCGTAAGGCCGCTGGGGGTCGCGCTTGGCCGGCACCCGGCGCGCTGTGCGGAGCTCCCCGGTGCGCCAGTCCATGCGAAAGAGGTTCATTTCATTGCCCCGCACAATGCTGTAGGTAAGCCGGGCGTTCTCGCCGTCGTCCGCGTCCACTGCGGCCACGCGCGTCAGCAGGTAACCCGGCTCTGCCGAGCGCGGAAGCACCTCACGCGCCGGAGTCCCGTTGCGCCCTGGCAGGGGCGCCACGATCGCAGGGGCATTGTCGTTCTGATCCACGATGAGGATGTTGACAGTGGCGTTGCCAGCCAGCGCCTGGGGGCTGCCGGAGTCCCGGGCTTCCACCTGAAAGCTGAAGTCCTTGAGCTGTTCGTAGTCGAAGGAACGCAGGGCGTACAGGTAGCCGTTCTCGGAGTTGATGGACACGTAAGTGAAGACGCTCATGCCCTGGATCTGGCACTCGAGGATAGAGTAAGCTAGCTGGGCGTTGGCGCCCTCATCGCGGTCTGTGGCGCTCACCGCGTAGATGTAGGCGCCAGGCACGTTGTTCTCGGTCACATACACGTCGTAGACCGGCTGGCTGAACCGCGGTGCGTTGTCGTTCACATCTGATACTTGCACTTGGATGGACTTACTGGTGGAGAGCGCCGGCTCGCCCCGGTCGCGAGCCACCACGGTCAGGGTGTAGGAGTCCCCCGCCTCTCTGTCCAGGGGGGCCTCGGTCACAATGGTGTAATAGTTCTTGAAGGAAGACTTGAGGCGGAACGGCACATCCCCCAGCAGCTCGCACTGCACCTGTCCATTCTCCTCTGAGTCGCGGTCGGTCACGCTGAACAGGGCCACCACTGTGCCGGGCGCCGCGCTCTCGCTCACCGCCTCCTTTACAGTGCTGAAGCTGATCTCCGGCGCATTGTCGTTAGCATCCAGCACTCGCACTAGCACTTTGCAGTGCGCGGGCACGGCGTTGGGGCCCAGGTCTTTGGCTTGTACGTACACTTGATACACTGGGCTCTCTTCATAGTCCAGCTCGCCGCTCACTTCCAGCCGGCCGGTGCGCGGGGAGAGTCCGAAGAGCTCCCGTGCCCGGGGCGAAATGTGGCTGCTGAAGGAGTACACGACCTCGCCATTCTGGCCCTCATCTGGGTCTGTGGCGTTGAGCTGGATCACAAGCGTGCCGGGCGGAGAGTTCTCTGGTAGAGACACAGTGTAGACGGGTTGGTCAAAGGCGGGCACATTGTCATTGGAGTCCAGAACTCGGATTGTGAGTAGGGCAGTGCCGGTGCGCTGCTGCTGGGGGGGCAGGCCGCCTCCCCCGCCGCCTCCCCCTCCGTCTCCTCCTCCTACCCCTCCTCCCCCGTCCACCGCGGTCAGCACGTAGCGGTGCACCGCTTGCTGCTCTCGGTCCAAAGGCTTCTCTAGCACCAGCTCCGCGAATCGGTTGCCATCCCCCTGGGTCTGCACGTCCAGGGAGAAGTAGCTGTTGGGGGTGATCTCGTAGTCGCGCAAGGAGTTGGTGCCTACGTCTGGGTCGAATGCGCTCTCCAACGGGAAGCGGGTGCCTGGCGTGGCGCTCTCAGAGATCTCCACCGTCAGGTCCGGCTCCGGGAAGGAGGGAGGGTTGTCATTGATGTCCAACACTTCGATCTCCACCCGAAACAGCTCCAGGGGGTTCTCCAGAAAGACCTCCAGGTGCAGGACGCAAGAGGGACTCTGCTTGCAGATTTGCTCGCGGTCTATCTTCTCGTTCACGTACAGCACCCCGGTCTCCAGATTGAGGTCCAAATAAGGGGTCCTAGAGTTGGGCACCGTTTGAAACCTGCGAGCCGAAAGTTTTGTAATGTCCAAGCCCAGATCTTCAGCGATATTCCCCACGAAAGTGCCATGTTCCTGCTCCTCCTGCACCGTGTAGTGGAGCTGGGAAAAGACTCCTTCTACCATCCAGAGCAAGGCAAAGAATAATAGCACAATCATCTCCAAAGGGAAAGGAAGCAGCTTCCCGCAGCCAGTCAGTCACCCAACACCTCCCCCACCACTATGAAAAAAAAAAAATCTCAAAAAAACCCCCAAAATAAAACAACAAACAAAAGTGCGCTATGTGTGGGGCTCCTGTGGCTTTCTGTCCTTAAAAATCTTATTCCTTTTGCTTCATTTTAGGGCTTCCCCAATTCACCCTCATTTTTCAATCTTAGCGCAGGAAGGGTGACAGGCGTCCCCTTTCCTCATCTGTAATCTTCCCACTGACCAATTAATAAAATAATAGTACAATAGTCAGCGTCCTTTATTCCGACAGTCTTGGCGCAACGCGGCGCTGGCAAATCCCAAGGAGGAAATCTCGGTATTTCAAGACTGTCCTCGGTTTGTCTTCTTGCTGATGGGAGGAGAAGGAGGAGGAGGAAAAAGAGGAAGAGGAGGAGGAGGAAGATGAAGAGGAAGAGTAGGAAAAGGAGATGCTGCTGGCACCGCTGAACATGCCTCAATGTCAACGGCTGGCAAATGCAAAAGGGCTTAAAAACAACGAGAGAATTTTGTGCCGGAAAAGCATAGAACGGCTCTGCAGCATAAAACTTTCATTCTCTTCATTTCTCTTGATGGATGTTCTTCTTGGCATTTTGCCTCTCTCGCTCTATTTGCGTTTGTTGGCTTTCATTGTGTTGTCTCTGTCCTCATCTCCACCGTCATTTGCCTCTGTGTAAGTGTGATGAGCAATTTCTTTTCTGCTTCCCAAGCCTCTCTCCCTCTGACCTGTCTCCCAGTCCTTCCCTCCTTCTGCCTCAGCCCTTAAGCCCGCGGTCTCGGCTGGCAGTTTCTGAGCTCCGAGCGCTCCGCTTCTGTGCTTTTGCGCAGCTCTATCAATCTGCCAACCAATCGCTGAGGAGCACCACCCACCGAGCCACCGCTAATTGGCCGAGCTGTCCGTCAAGCAGGCGCGTCACGCGGCAGCGGGGAGGTGCTGAGAGAACCCGCGCCCGGCTGCCCGGGTGAGTGTGAGTGTGAGGGCGAGGAGAGACCGGCAGGTCCCGAGGCTCTGGCTGGGGACTGCCGCGGAAAGTTCCCAGTCCCCAGCCGCAGGTAATGGGGAGGGAATAGAGAGGTTCCCCTGTTTGCATCAGCAAATGCGAAATCATAATAGCAACGGCAGCGGTGTTCTCTCCCAGGAGCGGGGTTTCCAATGACGCTAACATTCTTTTTCCTTTAAGGTATTTTCCTTGCTATATTGATCGTGGAAATAAATAACCGAGAACGGGAAAAAGTTGCAGAGGGCTCCTAATTGGCAAGGGTTATTTAACGAAGGGGCTCCCGCAGAGATTGGCAAGACATTATTAACATGGATAAAATGTGGCCCGTATCAAACTGGCGTGAGGGTCCAGGGGGCCGTGGGAAAGGAGTGAGCCAGTAGGAGAGTGGGACGGCGATGGTCCTGAAGCCGAGGGATTCACGCCGGAGCGTGAGGGCTGGCAGCTCCTGTAGACGGGCGCACGCGTCAGGCTCGCCGCTTCCCCTCTTAAGTGTGCATCCACAATATTCTGACCAAATAGACTAATACGCTTGGGGACCTAGTTTAGTTGTGAACGCTAGGATCAATGAGGAGTAGTTTCATTTGAGCTCCGCTTTCCAACCCGCCAGTCGGATTCACTGGCTTCGGCGCCAAGAACGTTTGACGCACCGCGGCGCCATGGGTATCCTTGCGCCTCCAGGCCGGGCGCTGCACAGTGGCGGCGCGCGCAGTATTTTCTGCTTTTTCCTGACCGCTAGAGACTCCTACCCCCGCCCCCATGCTAGACCTCGACATCAATTTTTTCAGAGCCTGGGGTAAGATTGCGGTTGAGGACGGCGGGCCAGTGGCGAACGGAGGAGGGCGGGCGTGCGGACGAGCGGACGGGAAGGGTCTGGAGCGTGTGCCGCGGCTGGCATCTGCGGCCGCGCGAGTGCATCCCCGGTGCTCGCGCCCGCGCTCCCCGGCCCGCGCACTGCTCTGTGTCTGCCCCAGAGGAGTCGCCACCCGCCTGCTGGCTCCCCGGTGTTGCGCCTGACGAGCGCCGAGTGCCCACTCGCGAGGAGCGGGGGCAAAGCCGAGCATCTGGCGCATCCAGTTCTTGTGAAGTTAACAATACAGCGCGAAGTCTCCGTGCTAGAGAGTGGATTGCATGTTAGTTCTCAAAGAAAAAATATTTAAACTGAATTTTAATATTAGTTAATGGGCCGTAGTAGGTGGTTGATTCACTAAAGCAGCCCCCGTTCAGTCTTCGTCTGCCACCAGATAGGAAGGTGCCTTGCGGTGGTAATGAATGACCCGAGAGTAACACCGCCACAACCTGCGGAAAAAGGAGAGTCGTTTCCCGACCCCGAGGTACGTTGCTTTCCCTCCTGGCAGTGACTTAGAGAGGACGGGTGTCCACGGGCGTGACCGTAGACTGAGGCCTGTCCTTGTGAGTCCCGGGAGTGCGAGTCTCCTCCCTCGGCCCCCGCCCCTGGGCTCGTTCACAAAGATGGGTCCTGCCTTTGAGCAGTTAGAGTGAACAGATGCCAGCAAAAATGGCTAATCCGTTTCCAGCTGCAGTAAATTGACGACCGGTCAAATCCAAGCGAAAACCGTTGCAGTTAAAACGATTTTAGCTTCCCTTCTGTGGCTGAGAATGGAGCGGCAGTTTATAAAACGACCTGTGGATCAGTGAAAAGGAGATTATAGTGTATCTGAATATTAACAACACTGCATCTATACTTTTCTACCCTTTCCTCCTTTACTTTTTGTTTAGATCTGCAGGATTGAAATGAAATGTTTTGAGCTCTTCAAGCTGACTCATCAGAATTCTGGAGAATTTTTTAAATGACGGTAATTTTCTAATGTTTTCAGTTGTACGTATGGAAACACTTGTATGTATGCGCTTGTGCGCGTGTGTTTGCGTGTGAGAGACCTAAGGCTGAATGACAATGCAGATCCCGAATATGGGGAAGAGCGTTTGTGCTCTCAAAATGTCGATGAAGTTTGAGCAGATCAGGGCGTTCGCTGAGAGCCGAAGAGCTTCCAGAGGTGGAGATGAAAACGTGGAGAGATGGCCAGATTTGCCTGTAAATAATCACTACATCCACTGTAACACTTGAGCTGCCTTTTTTTTTTTTTTTTTTTTTTGTTAACAGTTGTTTGAACAGGGAACACTCTCCGCAAACGTGGGTTAAAGGCGCCTCCTAGCGGCGAAAGGAGCATATGGCGAGCCAGAGAATTTTGCTTTTGGAGCTCCCGTTCCGCCCGGCTCGCCTGTTGGGGGCTCTGCAGGATTTGTCGGGTCTCCGAGGCCCGAGTTCGCTCTGGCGACGCTGTCCCAGGTCCTCCAGAGGTCTCGCCTTTCTGACTTGTAGTCTCCGAGATGCCCGGGTACGGGCGGAGTGACGACGGGTCTTCTGCCGGGGAGAACAGACCTGAGCCCGCCGGTCTGCCTCTCTAGGTGGTTCCAGCCAAGGGCAATTGCAAGAGCATTTTGTTCGGCGGACAAAATTTAGACACTGGCATTAAGAGCCTTTTCTGCCTCCCTTCTCTGGCTCCTCCTGGAACCATTACATACTCCCACCCCGCACCCACAAAACAAGACAGCACTTTAAGTTTACCATTTAAAAATAACTCTAAAATGTAACAGATTTACTTTCTTCCTCTCTGTGTCAGTCAAGCAGATTTTTTCCCCTTTCCATCTTCTTTTTCCAGTCTCCGTGGATCCCAGAATGTAGTGAGGACATGATTACATAAATGACCGCCTGGGTGATGGGGTTGCAGACCTCTTTGCAGAGCAGAACACCGAGTAAAACTGTGCCCTTGCGCCCCCCGCCCCCACTGCGGGAAGAGGGAGGGAGCAGCAATCCCTAGCAAACAACCCTCCATTCCTATCCCCAACGGCCCTTTTCTGGAACGCCAACTCTCTGGGCCTAAACTAATTGCATCCCAAAACAGAGGGGAAAAGTGGTTATTGTTATTTGAAGGGGGGGTTATCAAAATCAATTTTCACTCAAGTAACTGCTTGGTGTATGAGAGTAATAATACACACTTGAGTGTCTATTTCTTTGGCTTCTAAGCACAGCAGATACAGAGGGGAAGCTGAGGATCCCACAAATGCATTTTATATTCATAGTTAAAAACTTTGAAACTGGTTAACGGGTTTGCTTTATTCCCTACTTTTTTCTGGACACTGGAAGCAAACAAGTTTATTAAACAACGTGTGGTTAAATGAGTGTTTGCAATGATTTAGCTTGACTTCAAAGCAATTTGTTTCTAAATCCTCTTATTATTGCAGTGTGCCAAGAGCTTTAAGACAAGATGTTTTTTGAAGAAAAAAATTTACATTAACAATAAGGAGGTTTTCAAATACTAGAACAGACCAGAATTGAGCTAGATGGTTCCTGGCACTTGCCATTTGCAGCAAGCAGTATGCAGAGAGCAAGGCAAATGACCTGGACTGTATTGCCTTTCTTAGGGGTAACCATGAAATAGGTTTATTTGTGGTAGTGCAACCTAAGGTAAGAGGTGGGAAGGCAAGGCTTTGGAGTCAATGCCAGAGAGACTGTTTTGGTTTCTGCTCATGTACAGTAAAGAGTGCATGTTGACTAAGGTTTCTGGAAAACATTTATAGCATATGCTATTATAAGCATTTAGGTAACTATATTTTCTATGTTCTAATGTTTTGAACCCAATCGAGAACAAACCAATCCATGTTTTGAGAATTGAGAATACTAGATGCCCCATTAAAGATTACTTGATATTCAAAGTAGTAGAAATGTTCTTCTTCCCCATTTTGTTTAACCTAGTTAATATTGTTACGGCTTCACATTTCAGTGTCTTTTCAGTTATATGACAGGGCCAGCATTTTGTTAAACTCTAAACAGTGAATTAAAAGCACCAATGAGCTGAAGTAGCCCTCTAATACAAAATGACAAATTGCACTTAAGCAATACATGAAGAAGAAAATGATTTATGGATTTTTACAGTGGTCTGAGCAAATGAAAGCAACATGAATTATACATCCTAATGCTCACAATATCATTTTCTAATAATACTGTTTAGTTCAGATGCTATACTCTCATCCTTTCTGTAAGAGATATTGATCAATAAGAGATCCAGAAATATTTTTAAATCAGGCAGTGGTGTTTGATATTGTTTCCAAATATATATATATTTCCTGAGTATGGGGAGGGGGTGATGAATAAACACTGAACTTAGTAAGTTTCTTGTCAACTCCTTTACATGTTGTGTTTCTGGTGCTAAATAGTTATTTGCAAACTTACTTCTTGTTCCACAACTTCTTTCAAAATGCAGGTAAGTATATCCGACTTAGAATGATAATTGTCATTACATCATGACCTCTCCTTCTGAAAATCAAGGTGCATTACTTCATCTTACCCTTTTCTTTCATTGCTTTTGGTACTGAAAAATCTGACTTCTCCAAAATGTCTCTTACCTCCTCATATTTGTTTCATCCTGTTTTGTCAGGACATTGTTTAATTCGTTAGTGTTTGAAAGACACCTGAGTTAGTAAAAAAAAGCCATATGCCTTAGTTTTTTTGGCCTTAGCAGACAAAAGAGAGCTTATGGCTCTCTTAAATTATAGAAAAAAAAATCAGTCTGACAAAATTCTATGTGGTGCCTGTTTTTTGTTTGAAAAGTAAAAAAAAATCAAGTTGCCTCTGTGTTGTGATGAGTAATTACTCCTAGCATTTTTAACCATTTGTGATGTGTATAAGTATTTTGGGGTGTGTGTAGAATTTTAACTAAATTTTAATTTTGCTTTATTACATACTCAGCCACAGGAAACTTCTAATTACCC